AACAAAAACAGCCACCATTCACACTCTCCATTTTTCTGACTAGAAATCGTGCTTCGCCGTGCCACGACCACGACCTCGCCATGTTAAACTAAACCCATAACACCCATTCGCTGTCTAAAGACTCCAAACTCATAAAGACTCCAAACGCAAACACCAAAACCATGCTTCGCCGCACCACGACCACGTCGTGGTAACCCAAACCCATAACACCTATTCACCATCTAAACCCATAAAGACTCCAAAGTCCAAACCCAAACACCCTATCCAGCTCCACAGTGCCACGACCACAGCCTTGCGCCCTTGTCGAATTTTGTTTGCTAGCTAGAAACCCAAACTCGTGAGTGTGTTTCTAGACTCTCCATGAACTCTATAGTCCACAAACTCGTGAGTTTCTCTTTTAGTCTTTTGTTTATCATTTTTGTTTTTGGTGTTCTGGGCATTCCTTTGGCCATTTATATTATAGTTCCTTTGCCCATTTGTTTTTGTCTACACGTGCTTCATGTGAATGATATGTTATTTGTCTACATGTGCTTCATGTGAATGTGATCAGCTCATGTTAAGGACAAAATCTTGACATGGTCAACAGACTGAAACACCATGTGATAAGCATAAAGTGTAGATGAATAAAAAATAACCCGTGAGGCCCCTTATTGTCAGCCTCAAATTGTGTGACCAAGGATCACTTTTTTCTGCCAACACCATGTGCCATTTACATTTGTTTATATGTATACTTATATTTTAAGAACTTTTTGACTGAAATATGTTTTATACTTTTATGTATTTGATTAGATATGGCATCCACTTCTACTCCCGGGATTCCCGACCCTACTACCACTCCAGCAGAGATCTCATCTTCAGCATTACAATGTACAGAAGACACAAGTAGCACTCCAAATGAAAGCAGACCTACCATTGAAACAACCACAACTAATGTTAATAAAGAGGTTGATGTTAACTCATTTGCAAGAAAAAAAAAAAAAAAAAAAAAGCAAAAACATCTACGGTTTAGAACGATTTTAAGGAGGTAAATCTACCTGACAATACCAAAAAGGCTGAGTGCATCCATTGCAAGGAAAAACTTGCAATAACGGTTACTGGGAGCAACTCACCTTTCAAGACATTTGAATAGTTGTGTAAGGCGAATTCTTTTCCGAAAGCAACCACAACGGTTTTTCTAGGCAGAAGCAGGAGATATGGGAACAAGTGGTGCAATTGATAATCTCGTCCCTGTTCTTACCAGTGGGAAATTTGAAATGGCGAAGATGAGGGAACTAGTTGCCAATTGGGTGCTTATGCATGAGCATCCATTTACTGTTGTTGAGGAGGAGGGATTTAATGATATGCAGAGATATGCGATCCCTCAATGGAAAAGGATAAACCACAACATGTGTAAGAATGATTGTGTTACTATGTATGAGAGGGAGAAAACGAAGCTGAAGAATTTGTTAAAAACTGTTGACAAAAAAAGCTTGACGACTGATTTATGGAAGTCAAGTAATCAGAAGATAGAATACATGGTTCTAACGGGGCACTTTACATATAGTAATTGGAGGCTACAAAAAAGTGTTCTCAGCTTCGTGTATATACCTCCTCCTCGCACTGGTATTCTGATTGCAGATTTGATTTATAAGTGTGCGAAAGAATGGGGTATAGAAAACTAGGTGTTCACAATTTATGTCGATAATGCCACAAATAATGATACGACAATCAAGATCTTAAAAGACAATTTTTCAATAAACAAAAGCCTTGTATGTGGGGGGAAATTGTTCCATGTTCAGTGTTGCGCACATATCTTGAATCTTATGGTTCAAGATGGTTTGACTGAAATAAGGTACATTGTTGAGGATGCCAATGACACAGTGTGGCATATATTAAATAATCGAAGAGTAGGTTTATCATGTTTTCACAAGTCGTGCAGTTGTTACATTTGCCTCATCAAAAGCTCATTCTTGACTGTAAAACAAGGTGGAATTCCACAGATGTTGATTACAACACTTAAGTTCAAAAATGTCTTTTTAAGATATCGTGACAAAGACTTGCATTTTGATTGTTGTCCAAATCCAGAGGATTGGGTGAGAGTCGAAAAAGTTTGTGAAGTTTTGGAAGTGTTCAATACCATTACTAATATCATCTCTACGAGTGATTACCTGACTGCAAATCTATTTCTAAGTGAAGTTTCTCGTTAAGGTTATGCTAGATGCAAAGGCAATGGATAAAAATGATTTTATTCAAGATATGGTGAAGAAAATGAAAAAGAAGTTTGACAAATATTAGGGAGAGTGTAATTTGTTAATGTGTGTAGCTTTTGTGGTAGATCCTAGGTGCAAAAAGGCGATGCTTGAGTATTGTTTCCCTAGAATGTATGAAGAGATTGAAGCACAAGCGAATATGTTAAAAGTTAAAGATGCCTTGTATGAAATTTATCAAGAATATGTGGATGAATCCCAATCCTTCAACAATGAACAAAGAGCTAAAAACAGAGTGGTTCCTCGGGTTAATGTACAAAACCCAAGTAGTTCGTCTGGTTTTGCATTATTTACACAGCATATGAAAGTGGTTCAAAGTGTCCCACCGGAAAAATCAGAGTTAAATGGTTATCTAGAAGAAGGATGTTACATTTCTGATGATGGGGGTGATCCAACTACATTTGATCCACTACAGTGGTGGAAAGTGAATACGTTGAAGTATCGTTTGTTATCTAGGATGGCTCGTGATATACTAGTTATTCCTATCATCACGGTAGCTTCGGAGGCCACTTTTAGTGTTGGTAGTAGAGTTATTGGAACTTACCGAGCTTCTTTGTCTCCGGAAATAATATAAGTGCTACTCTGTGGAGGTGATTGGTGTCGCAATCTAGGAGGACTTAAGAGAAAGAACAAAGTAAGTTTCAATTATTAAAGTTATATAAATATTTTGGCATTTTCATTTAATATTTACTTTTAATTTATAACTTAAACTAATTTTTATGATTGTTATAGTTTAGATACAGCAAAAACATGAGGAGATTCAGCTTCCCATCAAATGAATCCCATAGGTATATATTAGTCATTTTCATTGATTATTTGCATGTTGAAGTGGTTTGAAATGTAGATTTTTTTTTCTTTTTCAGTTGAGGGAAGCTGCTAATGGATGCTTCCAGTTTTTGGTGATGAAAGATATCAGTTCTTCCTTCATATTAATGATGTTTTCAATTTAATGGATGCTTCCAGTTTTTGCCTTTTTGGTGATGAAGGATATGAGTTCTTCCTTGATATTAATGATGTTCTCAATGTATTTTGGTTGGATGTAAATATGTAATGGATGTTTTGGATGCTTGTTGGATAATCATTGTAATGATTTTCATTGACATTGTTAAGGAAAACTGATTTTGATTGTTGTTTGTGGTCTTTTGTGTGTTGATGGCTGTTTGGGATGGTTTGTTGGTTGGGTTGTTGGTTTTTTGTGCAAGTTCTTCTTTGTTGTGCAGGATTGTTGTGGGCTGTGGCTGGGATGGTTGATCTCAAATTTGATTGTAGGAATTTTTCAATTTGATATCTGCATTTGACATTTATATTAGATTTTGTTGTGAATTTGGCATAACATACATAAAACAGTTTTGAAACTGATTTTCTGATTTGGCATATCATGTTACTGTTCAATCTCGAGCTCGCGTTTGTTACTTGAGCTCGAACTCCAGCTCACCAGGTATTCGAGCCGAGTTCGAGCCGCTCACAATCTTATCAAACTCGAACAAACTCGACCTCAAGCCTGATTTTCAATGCTCGCAAGGCTCGAGATCAAGATCGCTCCAAATTCACAAACCAAGCTTCGAACACCAAGGGGTTCGACTCGGCTCGGCTCGATACACCCCTAGTTCTGACCCATATCATTACTATAACTTTAACAAAATTATCTATACATGAGTTTTAGCCTATTCATTACTTTAAACAAAATTTGATCATACATTGTAAATGCGATAAACAAAACAAACAATAAAGCCATAACGCAACAAAAACAATCGAGGGGAAGTGAAAGCGGTGGATGATGGACACTACACAACACATTACAAGGACCGCCTAATTAAGTGAAATTGATCATATAAATACATATATTAGAGAAATTTAATGCGAAGCTCTATGCATTCTCTACGGGAAATTATAAAATTTTTAAAAATATGATGATATTTTTTTTTTTTATTTAAGAGTAAAAACATATATAGAAACTGATTGTAGCATAAGCAGGTAAAACTTTAGCAGTTTAATAACAATCCACGTATAATTTTCAAACAATTAAATATAGGTTTGCAAAACTTTTTTTTTTTTTTTTTTTTTAATGATCGGGGTGTCTGGGTTAGTTTAAGCACACTTTAATTAATCCTCCAAAACTCCGGAGTTATTGACCAGATAAGAACTCTAGTAGTTACCTCTATTAGCATCCGAAAAAAAACTCAAACTTAAAACCTCTTGAGTAATAATACATTTAATAGTCCCTATCAAAAGGTTTGCAAACTACTTGTTAAGAGTTTCTTTTCCTCTTCGTTGATTCCTATTTTCAAAGCGTATAAAATAACTATTAATAGTTCTGTCAGTCCGAATATCTCAAAACAATTTAAGGAATAAAAACAGCATACAAAGAGGAATATACTAATCCAATCGCGGTTAAAAAATAAAACAACCAATTATTATAGAAAAAGGACTGTTCATATTATATTCATTGTTCATATTGTTATGTTCAAAGGTATCAGTTGCTGAATATATGTTAGCATATTCTCGCACTAAACGATAAAGGCATCATATGGACTGTGGACAACATACGCTGGATTACTAAATATTATTAACCGAATCAATCAAACGGTAAATTCGAGCAAAAAGATATCTGGACAAGACAAATTCGGGATTCAACAGTTATTTGTGGGGAGTCGGCAGCAATGACTAGGTTCTGCATCCTAAGCACTTAACATTTAATTGAATCCTTATATAAACAAGGATGCATAGCGTCTAGAGAGCATGCATGAAAAGGAAATGGAGACCAAAAAACACATTGTTTTAGTTCATGGAGCATCACACGGGGCTTGGTGCTGGTACAAGCTTGTGCCGTTGCTCAAATTGGCTGGTCATCAAGTCACTACTGTGGACCTTGGTGCCAGTGGGATCAATCCTAAACAGATTGATGATATCACGTCCATTTCTGATTATTTGCAGCCATTGATGGATTTCATGAGCTCTCTTCCACAAGATGAGAAAGTAATTTTAGTTGGCCATAGTTTTGGTGGCATTGGTATTTCTCTGGCCATGGAAAACTTCCCTGAGAAAGTCTTGGCAGCAGTTTTTGTAGCAGCCTATATGCCCAATTGCAGTGTCCCGTTAATTACCCTACAGCAAGAAGTAAAATATCTTGATAATGCCTAGATTTATTAAGTACCTTTTCTTTAAATTTGAACGTGTTACGAAAGTGTCATGTGATTTTTTTTTTTATTCTGTTCTTTTTTGTTTTGATTTATCATCCAGTTCTTCAAATGGACACCCATGGACTCGCTTATGGATTGCACATTTACATTTGGTAGAGGCCCTGAAAATCCCCCAACTTCAGGCTCTTTTGGTCCAATTTACTTGGAAAAAAGGGTGTATCAAAACTGCCAGCCTGAGGCAAGTATAGCAACCTCACAAATATCTCGTTGGGAACTATAATTCCTTCATAAAATTAAATTAAAATTTTTTATTTTGATGTTTGAAAATGTGTTTTCATAGATACATTTGCAAAACAGTGTGACTGTTTATAACTTCTGTTTATGGATTGTTGCATATGCAGGAGATTGAATTAGCCAAAATGCTAGTTAGACCATGTGGGACATTCTTCATAGACTTGGCAAAAGAATGCCCAATAACAGAGGCAAAATATGGATCCATAAACCGAATTTTTGTAGTATGCCATGATGATGGTGTGATGAAGGAGGGATTTCAAAGATGGGTGATCGAGAATAGCCCACCAAAAGAAGTGATAGTCATTAATAAAGCTGACCATATGGTCATGCTGTCAAAGCCCCAAGAACTTTGTCAATGTCTCCACGAGATTGTCCAAAAATATTAGTGAATTTCACAAGCAGCCAATAACCAAGTTTCCCGAGACTATTTCTCAAGTTTGTGAAGTTAATTTCCTTTTAGTTTCTGGATGATTATTTGTTATGTTTTGATCCCCTAACATTCAGCAATAATGGAGCCGAAGATGTTTATATCATTTGAAAATTTTCATGATAATAATATTATTCATATAAACTACCTCTATATGGTCGAGTGGTTCGATAAAGACTCTTGGATGTGTTACTTACTTACTTAAGAGATTATGAGTTTAAGTCCCTCTTCGGTTGCTAATAGAGGTAACCACGGGAGCTCTTATCAGAGTAGTAGTTTTAAGGCCCTGAGAGATTAGTTGAGATGTGCATAAACTGGCTTGGACACTCCCGGTCATAAAAAGAAATATTATTCATATATATATATACACCATAGAATTTATGTCAAAATAGTTATCAACTCGACGTATCATGCTTCATTTCACGCTTTAATACAAGTTATTCTAGTAAATTATTAAAGTACTTGCAACAAATCTAACTTAAGTATTTTAATTTTTATTGTTGCAAAGGCAGATAAATTGAGCTGGCATATTTATCATTATTGATTTTTTTTTAATTATTATTATGAACTGGTAGGCAAAGGCTTCAATGGCGAGGAAATTGTAAATAACAGGAAAAAGCAAGGGCACCATGCTCATTTAATTAACTTGCCAATAGCCAAATGTGATAGCACAACTGTAGTCCTCTTCTTTTATGGGCAAAGAGTGGCAAGAGGGACGGAGGAGGCCACTGGTTCAATTGAACACAATTTTCAATGGACCCCATTACACTGGAGGTGGAATCCAACATCAAACACAAACAAGACTATTGGGCCACATTAAGCCCAATACACGCTGGGTTATGCCGTGTCTTATCTATCGGACCCAATTATATACCATTCATCTATTGTTTTTTCTATCCTAATGTCAACGATACGATGAAAATGAGATATTGATTTGTTGAAGTTAAACTATCTTTAGGTGACCAAGTGGTTAGATAAAAGATTCTTGAGTGTATTACTTAAGAAGTTTTGAGTTGGAGTTCGTCTTCGGTTGCTAATAGGAGTAGCCATTGGAACTCTTACCTAGCCGGTAGTTCTAAGGTCCCAGGGAATTAGCTAAGATGCGCATAAATTGGTCCAGACACCCCTGATCATTAATTTTTCAAATACATGTATAGAAATCTAGTAAATTTTTTATCCAGACAAACTAATCTATAATAATTTAAGCCTCTATTTAAAAAAAAAAATGATGAAAATGATCTAAATTAATTACAAAATTAACTTTTTATGTCTTGCTCAACATAGGGAGATATCTAAAGCTATGAGAACCCGATCAGAATTCAGAATTAGAGTTAAGAAATGGAGAAGGTGAAGCACTTTGTTCTAGTTCATGGTCTCTGTCTTGGGGCATGGTGCTGGTATAAGGTGGCAACATTTCTTAAATCAAGTGGTCATCGTGTTACAGCTTTGGATGACCTGGGTGCCTGATAGGCCTCCCATTAGTAAAGTTTATTAATATAAAGGGCATAAAGGGGATAAGGGCAGTAGGGTGATAGGTGTTGTAAGGTGCATGGGTGCTAGTGGGAGTTGGTTGGGTAACATTCATATGTTAAGGGAATCAATTTGTTAATAAAAGGAATATTTAGTAGAGTGGATTAGTATATAAAAAGAGGTTTAGAGAGAGGTTAAGAATAATTTTAAAAAGGTAATTAAGGGAGGTCCATAGCTTCTCGAACTGCTGGGAATTATCTATCCTTAGTTTTTTTGGGATGTTGAAACCATTTCTCTTATCAATTATCTAATTAAATACAATATTGGTTATTTTCATATTTGATTTGTCTATCCTAGTGCAATTTTGGATTGTTTGTTGCTGGTTTTGTTTTAATCTGACAGGGTTCCCATCAAATTGGTATCAAAGCCTTGTTTAGGTAATGACTAAAACAAAAATGGAACAAAGGGTAGATGGTTTGGAGAAGGAGATGGGGAAAGTGGAAACAGAAATAGGGAATGTGAAGGAAGAACTGGGAAGCATCAAGGGATACCTCCTTGACCTTCGCAAATGGATGAGGTTAAAGGAGGAAAGGGAGACGAGTACGAGTCGTGATAAGGGAAAAACATCCAACGTTGAGCACTCAAACAGTGGCGATAGTGGGGATTGATCGAACCAAAGAAACTAAAAATTCTAAGGATGAGAAGAGGATTAAGAAACTAGAGCTACCAGTGTTCAATGGGGAAGATCCATATGGCTGGACCTTCAGGGTTGACTGATACTTTGTGGTGAACGGTTATGAGGCTAAAGAGAAGGTGGAAGTCGCAGCCGTTGGTATGGTGGGACGTGCCTTGAACTGGTATTAGTGGGTGGAGAGCACCAATCAGTTCGTGGGAAGCCTTAGAAGCTACTGTGATTGAGAGATTCAGGCCTTCCTTCAAAAGGTCAACGTATGAAGCTTTGGTGGCTTTACGACAAACGGGTACAATTACAGAATACAGAGAAAATTTTGAGGCTCATGCGGCACCCTTATGCGAAGTAGGAGAAGACCTTCTAATGGGGATCTTCACGAATGGGCTGAAAGAAGAGATAAGGGTTAAGATGCGTTTGAAACAGCTCACTTCACTATTTGTAATAATAAATCAGGCCCATCGGCTGGGAGAGAAGAATTGGGTTTTAGAGAGGAATCGACCCAAGTTATTCAAGGCCCAAAACAACAAGCTGGATAATTACACTTTGGTCACACAAAGCCCAAAACCCGTGTGCCCAAATACATGGGTCATTTCTCTACAAAATCCAGAGCTGGGTCAAAATTTCTTTCCCAATTGAATTCACGATTGTCAAGAATGATTAGTAGAGCCAGCTCCACCTAGTTTTTGTGGAGAGAATTTTCGGTGAATGACTAACGCTGAGCTATAGTTCAAGAGAGACAGAGGTTTGTGTTTTAGGTGCAACAAAAAATTTGGCCCTAACCATAGATGCAAAGGTAAGTCACTCCAAATTCTATTGGTGACTGACAACGACGATCCAGAAAAAGAAACAAACAGTCTTGAACCCATCGTTGAACCTTCTGAAGAAGGTAATCCTCTCCCCTCATCAATGAAACGCAAATTGTGGGCATGACTACTAACAAAACTTTGAAGCTCAAATGTGTGATTGGAAGTGAGAAATTGATTCGTGGATAGCAGAGCTTCCCATAGCTTCATTTCGCATGATTTGGTGAGAAAATTGGGATTGGACGTTGAGAAGGGGAGGTCGTTTGGGGTTATGGTTGGTAATGGGTTTACGGTCAGAGGAGAGGGCACTTGTAGGGGAGTGAGTTTGAGGATCCAGGAGGTGAATTGAAACATGATTTTTTTCCTTTTGATCTCGGAGGGACAAATGTGGTGTTAGGTATTTCGTGGTTGAGTACCCTAGGGGATGTGTGCTTTAACTGGAAAAATCTGACAATTGTTTTTGTCAGTGACAGGAAGAAGATAATTTTACAAGGGGATCCCTTTCTAGACAAGACAGTAGTCTCCCTTAAAGCTATGTTAAAGTCATTGCAAAGTGAGGATGCTGAAAATGTAGTGGAGTTGTGTTCCATAGAGAGTAAGGGAGAAGCAGGGAAACCCATTGAACCGAGAGTTGCTGTATTAGGTGAATTTAGCCATTTGTTCTAACACCTTACTAAACTACCCCCTAAAAGACCCACTGACCATGCCATAGTGTTACAGGATGCTGCCAAACCCCTTAACATACGCCCCTACAAATACCCCTATTCCCAGAAAAATGAAATCGAGAGATTGGTTGGAGAGATGATGGTGGTCGGGATTATTCAACCAAGTACCAACCCTTTTGTCAGTCCTGTGTTGCTAGTCAAGAAGAAGGATGGCAGCTGGTGTTTTTGTATCGATACAAGACACTCAACAACCTTACCATCCCAGACAAGTTTCATATTCCTTCAATAGACGAACTTCTAGATGAGCTACCTAGGGTACCAATCTTTACTACGCTGGATTTGAAATTCGGTTATCACCAAATTACAGTGAGAGAGGAAGATGTTCCCAAAACAGCCTTTAGACTCATGAGGGGCATTATGAGTTCCTAGTCATGTCGTTTGGATTGACGAATGCCCCCTCCACCTTCCAAGCTTTAATGAATACCATATTCAAACTAGTCTTAAGAAAGTTCATACTAGGTTTTTTTTTTGGATGATGTCCTCATTTATAGCCTTGATTTAGATTTTCACCTTCATCATATGTGACAAGCCTTCCAAATCCTTACTGAAAATGAGTTGGTAGTTAATTACAAGAAATGTTGTTTGCCCGACAGAAATTGGAGTACTTGGGCCACTTAATTTCTTCTAATGGGGTAGAGGATGATCCTTAGAAGATTGATTCTATGTTATCCTGGCCAATTCCATGCACCGTAAAAGGGTTAAGAGGATTTTTGGGCTAACAGGCTACTAAAGGGGTTTTGTGAAAAATTACGGGTTAATAGCTCAACCCTTGACACAGTTGCTTCGAAAGGATTCTTTTGAATCGAATGACCAAGCACAGCAAGCTTTTGTGGCACTTAAAACAGCAATGACATCGGTACCTATCCTAGCAGTCTCGGATTTTAACCTACCTTTTGAAGTTCACATCAATGCATCGGGGTTAGGCATGGGGGTTGTCTTGGTCTAGAATCTAAGCTCAATTGCCCTCCTTAGTAAAGCTTTCTCTTGTCACTCAAGGCAAAAATCAGTGTATGAGAGGGAACTTATGGCAATCATGTTTGTTGTCCACAAATGGAGTCACTACCTTATCGGGTGTAAATTCATTATTAAAACAGACCAGTGAAGTCTACAGTTTCTAACAGATCAATGAGTAAAGACACCAGAGCAACAAAAGAGGATTACCAAGGTCCTAGGTTTTTCATTTGAAATACATTATCAACTTGGCAACTCTAACCCGGTTGCTGACGCCCTATCTAGAAAAGAAGAAAGGACTGAGATGGCTACCATTTCT